TGTGCTATGCTATGATCAGAGCATTTATGGAATGCAAACTGAGATGTCCAACTATTTGTCTTTTCCCACTTCTTCATCACTCACTGAAAATGATGACCATTGGCAAGAGAATGCGAAAAACCCAATTGGGCTTCACCTGGACTGCCTTGCAGACAAATTCATCTGCTATTTTCTAGAAAACTGCTCTGGCAACACCGTTCATAAATTAGTCTGCAATCTGTTCAGTGTTGATGTTGATTCACTGCCAGACGTATTGCAAGAAGAAGCACTCAATGAAAAACAAATCAAATCGGGCGGGAGGATGAAATTTCAAGCTTGGAGGTATATTTGGAAGAAATGTTTTCTAATTTAGCCCAAAGATGGAGAAGGTGAGATACACGATTCTTCAGTTTTCTTCCATGGACCTATGCAGAAAAAAATGATTTTCAATTTTATTCACAATAAAAAACCAAAACAACAGAATCAACTTCATTCATTTTCCAAATCTAAAATTTCTTTCAATAAGGAAATGCAACCTCAACCTTCATATTACATTCATTTTTCTTCTGGTTTTTTTTGTATTAAATTCTTCAGTCCTGATAAACATTTTAACCAATCACTATATCTGAGCTGCGGTGGCGCAGTGGTTAGAATGCAGTACTGCAGGCTACTTCTGCTGACTACTGGCTGCCTGCAATTTGACAGTTCGAATCTCACCAAGCTCAAGGTTGACTCAGCCTTCCATCTTCCAAGGACGGTAAAATGAGGACCCAGATTGTTGGGGGCAATATGCTGATTCTGTAAACTGCTTAGAGAAGGGTGTAAAGCACTGTGAAGCAGTATGTAAGTCTAAGTGCTATTGCTATTGCTGCTGTGATCTCCCAGGAAGTCCAAAACATCTCCTGTAAAAATTCAATGTACCACTTCTGTACTGTTGTCTGTACTGCAGAGAACCTGTGTGGATATATCAAATGCATTTATTATTACCAGGAACTCCCTTATTGTTACTTGTGGGTTGAGTTCCTGCCAGAAGAGAAAGCAAGAAGCTTGTATCCTCATTGTGGTACTGTAGAAGCAGGAGCACCTTTCCACCCAAGATGAATTCGGTCAGGACTCTGCTAGGCTTATGAAAAGCCCTTAAGAGCTGATATACTTAAGTTAATTGAGCCTGAAATGTACAGGTAGTCCTCGAGCTACAACTAGAATTGAGCCCCAAAATTATGTTGCTAAGTGAAACATTTGGCATGTGAGTTTGCCACATTTTATAACTTTTCTTGCCACAGTTGTTAAGTGAATCACTGCATCTGTTAAGTTAGTAACATGGTTGTTAAGTGAATCTGACTTCCCCATTGACTTTGCTTACCAGATGTTGTGGCCTGTACGTGGCCTGTGCAACTAGTAGCTGATTCAGATAGCGAGGAGGCTGGTGTGGTGCTGCGCCAGCAGCCTGTGCAGCTGGCATTCGAGTCGGACAATGAGGAGGCTGGAGAAGAGTGGTGCCAAAGGCAGGGATTCAGCCTGGGCCTTCAGAACCTCCAGAAGCTCCCTTAAGTGAAGAGGACGAAGAGGAGGAGCCTCTTCTCGATGCACGGGTGCGCTGAGCTGCCAAAAGGCAGGAGTGGCTCCTCAGGAGGAGGTCTCCTGGAGAGTAAGGCTTGGAGCTAATTGGCCACTCCCTTAGCCTATTCAAGGAGGAACGCCGACTGAAGCAATTTGCAGGGAACAACTTAGTTCACATACCTTCGTGTCTTGTCTTGCTTATCTTATCAGCTTCCTGCAAATTGCTTCTGGGCATTCTGCCAACCATAGTAAGTTTTCAATTATTATTCTTTGAATTCTTGGCGGCTGTTAATGCAATTAATTAACAGCTGTTGTTGTAAAAGACTGGTTAATTCAGTAAATTAAGGTTTGAATGGACTTTGTGTGTACTGCATTCTTTGGGGTCCGTAGCTGGGGCAGAACACCAGAAGATCACAAAAGGGGATCACATGACCCCGGGACACTGTAACCACCACAAATATGGACCACTTGACAAGCATCAGAATTTTGATCATGCGATTAAAGGGATGCTGCCACGGTCGTAACTGGGAAAATGATCATAAATCACTTTTTTCAGTGCCCCTTAACTTTGAACAGTCACTCAGTGATCTGTTGTAAGTCCAAGACTACCTCTATTCATTTATTATTAATGGATTTTATCCTTAGTTGCCATTCTTTTGCTGTTCTGTTCTGGTTATCTTATATATTTCTATTTTGTAAAATTTATTGTAAGATTGATGCTTTTCATCATGTTCACCACTCAGAGTCACCTTGGCACGATGGGTGGCAAAACTCATAATCATAATAAGGATAATGCTCTGCAGGCAGCAAAAGCTCTTGGCAGGATCATGAGAAAAGAGAGGAACATCCTCCTTAAAAGAGCACATTTCCAGCTGTCAATCTTCCATTGGAACTTGGCTAATCAAGGATAGTGATTGGATAATGGATATATCAGGCCAAAGAACTAAAGGCTTGTTCTGGGTTATACACCTTCTTGTATTGTTTCTCACTGTACGAAAAAGCACTGTATGGGATCCTCATGTATTGCTAAGCAGCTGAAGAGCATTGAAACAATGCCCTGACCTGCTGCATTCATATTTTTTTTAAAAAAAATAACTAAAATAAAAGCTAAAAGAAACATAGAAGTATTTGAAATAGGGGTAATTGGAGAAAAATGTGTGGGTTATTATCAGATGTCATTAAGGAAGTCTGATTATGGATCCATTTGGGCCAGGTACAGAAAGTAATACAAAATGGTGGCCTGACAACTGACGATGGAGGTATTTAAGTAGGAAAATGACCCTTACATTGCATAAAACTAGCTATCTATTCACATTCTAAATAAACTCTAGGGCAGGGGTGAAATGCTCCCAGTTCGGACCGGATCGCCCGATCCAGTAGCGATGGCGGCAGGTGGTTCGGAAAACCGGTAGCAAAAATCCCTGCCCCCCCCACCATGCCCAGCTGAGCCGCACGATCATCAGAGGCTTTTTTTTTTAACTTTTAAAAACATTTTTTCTACCACCTCTTCCGACGAAAAAATGCTTTTAAAAGTAAAATAAAAAGCCTCTGATGCTCAGCTGGGATCATCAGAGGCTTTTCAAAACATTTTTTTCTGCAACCTCTTGGCCGAAGAGGTGGTTAAAAAAAATGCTTTGAAAAGTCTCTGACGATCCCAGCTGAGTTGCCTGATCAGCAGAGGCTTTTCAAAGCATTAGAAAAAATGCTTTGAAAAGTTAAAAAAAAAAAAGTTGGCCACTCCCACCCAGTCACATTACACCCCCAAGCCACGCCCACAGAACCGGTAGTAACAAATTTTACATTTCACCCCTGCTCTAGGGTATGCATAATCCAGAATTCCGCAATCTGAATCTTTGTGTATGCCTTACAATGGATATCTCTATATAAAGCAAATACCACTAATTGTAGTATTTATGACTTTATAGAATTTGATAATGTGATATTGTTCTTGTAGATGTGTGTTCCCGAAACTGAAGCTAAAATGGTTTCATTTTTCCATACATCATAGGAAGGTGAATTTAAGCAGAAATTTAAAAGATAAGTGGCAGCTTTTTACATCTGGTATCAAATGATTTCAATGATACCAGGAATTACTGAATACAAATCAAAGGCAGAACATTTATGTATGAACTTTTTATTCTACTGTATCAGAGGTGGGTTTCAGCAGGTTCTGACCAGTTCTGTAGAACCGGTAGTGGAAATTTTGAGTAGTTTGGAGAACCGGTAGTAAAAATTCTGACTGCCCCCCCCCCATCTATTCTCTGCCTCCCAAGTCCCAGCTGATTGGGAGGAAATGGGGATTTTGCAGGAACCTTCCCCTGCCACACCCATAAAGCCATGCCACACCCACAAAGCCACACCCACAGAACCAGTAGTAAAAAATTTTGAAACCCACCACTGTATTGTATGTATTTGTTGGATGTCTTGGAAAACATTTTTAAAGGTCACAACATGTGTTTCCCAGTCTTAGAAAGCATGAAGCAAGGGAGGCTGAATTATGTGATTCCTGGACCACTTGACTCCTCAGGATTAGTTTAAAGACGACTTTTCACACAAGTTCCGTTGAATTATTATTCATAGGTGAATCCATGGTATCTTATTTTATTTAAGCTTTTCTACCCTGGACATGATATCTAATTTATGCCTATACATACATATGCATATACATATACATACACAGATACAGATACACAATACATGATATGGATATAGATCAGGGGTGAGTTCTACTTACCTTTACTATAGATTCGCAACAGGAGCACGCTTGCGTGCTTGCTTTGCTCAATCATGCGCGTGCTTCTGTGCATGCGCAGATTGTACCTTATGACATCTGGGCAGGTGGGCGGAGCCTCCCGCCGCTTTTACTACCGGTTCTCAAGAACTGGACAAATCCGGGAGCAACCCACCACTGATATAGATATGAATATACACGCCCACATATAATATTATGCCACATTATACTGTATTGACTAAAAAAAACATACAATATTAATGACTCTATGTATGCATGTGTATGTGTAGGCACAAAATTCTCAGACCAATGGGCCTTGGGCAAACCTATATATAAAATACATAGCTGTGTTTCATTACGTTTCAATATTAACTTGATCCTTGTTGTGTAGGTGTGCACAAATTATTTCAGTTTAAATCGAGATACCTGTAGGATATCTAAGCATAATGGAGAAACTGCAAGCAGCATTGTTTAGTGTGCTATCCAGCTCATTTGTTTGGGATTAACGGAATCTCTTTTCTTTGTTTTAAAATAAAACAAAGCATACCAGTTCATGTGGCAAATTGATCCCGTGGCATCCTCATTACTAATCAATGCACATTTTGCAGGAAATACTTGTATAATTGCTTGTTAATACATCACCTGGCAGGAGCTATAAATTAAGACTGCTCAAGGGATGCGTTCTCAGAAATACCCATTCCACAAACTAGAAGAGCCATTCCTCAGGGTGAATGTCATATTTAAGGAAGCAAACTTGCCTGAACTTAGCAAGGCAAAGTGAGGTCAGATCCGACTTGGATGGGAGACCCTTAGCAAAATCTAGGGCTACACTGGGAAAGCCCTCCCCAAAAAATATTCCAGGAGAAAGTGATGGCTAATCACCTCCACAGCAAGAAAATTACACGGCAAATCCATGATGTCACCAGGAGTTGAGCACAATGTGATGGTCTCCATCAAAAATTGATTGTCGAATGGTATCAGATCCTCTCAGGTTATTTCTGGCTAGTATATCATATAAGAGTTGTGTTTGCTCACCAGTAATTGTAGATAGTTGGAATAATCCATTAATACAGGGATGGACAATTAATTTTCCCAAGGAGCCTCATGAGAAAACTGGGACTGTTGTGGAGGGATAAACCAATAGGGCTGTGAAGGTGTGTAAGCATGCACAAATGCATATATGTAAATTAATTTTTAAAAAGCAGTCGCCTTTACAATGGTACCTTCCTTAATTGGTCCTGGGACACACAATGAATATCAAAAATGTTTTGTTTTGTTTGAGTACCAAACAATTTTTCCCCAAAAGGAATGATGTAGTGAGTCACAATGCAGTGAAACTGACAAGTTCTAGCTTGTGTCAAAGGGAAAGCTAGAATCAGTTAATAACTGTTACTAACCTAACAACTGCAGTGTTTCACTTAACAACTCTGACAGGAAAGGTTGTAAGATGGGGCAAAACTCACTTAACAAATGTGTCACTTAACAACATAAATTTTGGGCTCAACTGTGGTCGTAAATTGAGAAGTACCTGTATATGAAATGTATTCTCTAGTACATGATAAAAAAAATAATAACCTTAACTTATTTAAATGCAGCACTGTTTCCTGTTTACTCATTTGCTATCCATTCATCCATTTTCACACTGCGGAATCTTTCTATTATGAAACATTTTTTGTGTGTGTGGCGGGGGAGGGAAACGAAGGCGAAAAAGTATATGGCTTCTTTAAAATATATTGCAAGAATCCTCATTTCCAGATTTTTATGGCTGTACTAGCTGGTATTCTTGCATGCAGTTTTGTAATTTATTCTGAACATTCCACTTAAACCTTTTTTCAATAGCGTGATTTTATTAGAGTCAGCTCACTGGACTTTCCCAAAAAGGTATTTAAGATCAAATAAAACCAGTGCTTGGAAAAATATCATTACAATATGAAAGCAGTTACAAAAACATTAGTACTGCAAAGTTTTATTTCAAATGGCTGAGCCTTCTGCAGCCCAGGTTATTGCAGTTCTACTTCCTCAGATATAGTCACTGGAAAAATAAGAAAAACTGTCATCTTTGCACTTTTTGTCTTTTCTCAGAAAAAAGATTCAATTTCAAGGCAGGTGGGTTTTTTCCCTCAGATGCTCTCCACGAGAAAAGCAGAAATGCAATCCCCTTGTGCATAGATTTTTTTCCCTAAGCAAATGAGCAATTTTATTCTTACTTTGTCCATTACATTATATTGTCCTTGTTTTGAATGATTCCCCTTGAGTGAATAGAAGCTTAAAATTGATACTCTTGTCCTGTTCTAGCCAATGAGACAGGACAATAATATATTCAGTTGCTGGCAATGCCTTTCTTACTTTTTCTGTGATTTCTTCCAAATATGTCTATTTAAGCCACCCTTCCACAAAGAGCCACAAGAGCAATGCCATTTGCTATCACAATAGAAGCATAAGCTAGTGAAGGATAAATAAGGAGATTTTAAAAAGTAAAATTATGAAATTAACAATTTGGTAGACCAAATGTCCATTAGAAAAACTATCTCTTCATAACAGGCCAGAGATTTAGCAACAAATAAGGGTGTGGGACATACTTCACTTGAAATCTAATTATTGTAACTGAAAAGTAAACCCTTTCTCATTCCAGCTAAAACCAGAAATTGTGGTGGGATTAAAACAGACCGTCCCTAGAAGATCAAGTAGGAAGGTTCCTATGAAAGGAGAAGGGCCTCTTAGAAAGCTGGATTCAAGCTATTTACAATTTTAAATGGATTGCTTGATTGCTTCAAACTAAGCTTCTTTTGTTACCTATAAACTACTGTATCTGTTATATAGTATTTGATTATAAGGGGAAATTGAATAGTTTTAGGAAAAACTACTCATTGATTTTTACTCCAGTCATTAATGGTCAACAGATATGCTGGCATTTGTCACTCTGACTCATATGATTGATCTTTAAGACTTATATGATCTTGTGTTTCTCTCCTTTCACCACCTGGATTTATAAAAACTGGAAACAAAATGTTACGTTGTGTAGATTTGGGTCTCAATACAAAATGTTTTCATCTGATTCAGTGGATGAAATTCATGATTTCTGAAACCAATTTCCACATTCACACCTAGCTACATCTACTCTCTATTTCTGACATGTTATTGTCTGGATTAGGTTGTAGTTGTCGGAGTCTGATGGATAAATATCTATCTTCTTTTGAAGGTGTGCTTATTGGTGATATCAAGAGGTATTTATCCATCAGCAAAGTGAACACTGCTAGTAGAATGGATTATTTGTTCTCTATGTAACCCTTTTCTCAACTCAGCTCAAGTCTGTTATGGGCATCTCCCCAGCTCTTCAAAGTAAAATTTAATGAGAGAACTGCAGGGAGAAGGGTGAAGAGATGTCATACATACACAACGATTACTGGATCTCTACCAACTTTTTAATGGCCTCTGATGGAGGCTAAATGGGAACTTTATCATAAACCAAAATTATGTAATTGCTAGTGTCTATGATTTTATCCTATCCACCTAAGGCTATTTTAAATAATGGCATCTGCTTAGATCATTAGAAAATAAACATTAATACAATATAGGACCAAACATCTGCTCCTTTACTATGTTATTACTCCTTACCTTTACTACCAGTTCGCAACAGGGCCGCGCACGCGCTCTTGCTTCACTCACGCAAGCGCAGAAGCATTTTGATGATGTCGGGGTTGGTGGGCGGAGCCTCCCGCCAATTTTACTACCGGTTCTATAGAACCGGCGAACCGGTGGCAACCCACCACTGATCTGCTCCAAATATTCAGAAAAGTCAGCTTTGCTTTCTAAAATTTTCAGGTACCACCCAGAGTCGTTGAGAGTTGGATGGTATGCAAGTCTAAGATGTTATTATTATTTCACAAAAATGTGACATCACAGCTGCCAGTTCTTCAGCTGATGTTGGCCTTCATATGCATCAATTCATTATGACATCCCAGGTTCCCAAGAACTTAGGATGTCATAATGTATTAGCATTGTATATGTGCAGAATCAAGCAGTGGGGCCTATTGTAATTAACTGAAACTTTATCAGTGCACAAATTTTCTTCATCCAAGATTTTTTTGGGGGGGGGGTATGGCACCCAATGTGCTGATAGCCACTGGGACCACTATGGCCAGTTTATCTTTCAACTTCAATTTTCAGATATTGATATTTGTGACCTTCTCCAACTGTGAATTTCAATCCTTTCAGCCTCTTATTTTCCTCTTGAATCCATTTTATCTTATACCCTTAACTTCTTCCATTTCAAATGTTAGTAAAAGCTAATATTTTTTAGCAAATACATGTTCAGCGTTTGCACGTAATTTTGTTTCAAATTCTGTTTTATATTGCTCAACTCCAAATCTTTCTTTAAATCTTTCTCTTAATTGTGCATATGAAAACCATTGGAAACCATTGGAAATTAAATCCCTTGCAGTCAACTGATTCCTTGATCCTCATCTAATATTTGTTTTCAGGTGTAGCCAGGGTTTGTACCTATTCCATATTCTCAATAAGGCACTTCTAACATAACTATTTTTAAAGTCTATATTAACTTTAATTTTATTGTACTGTAAAAAAACCATGCCACCCAAATCACAGGTCATGCTTTTCGAATTCTAAAATTCTTTTGTTTCTCAGTGACACCCTTTCTTTCATCCAAATCAAACAGCAGTCTGCAAACAGGTAGAGAAATCTCAGAAGCAAAGCTATTACTCTACAATCTAATGGCTATTCTAATGACACCTTGAACTATTATGCTAGGAATAGTTTTCAAAGTTTATTTAGGATTCTTGCATTAGAGAGAGCTTCAAAACACGTTGCCTCCCACAGTTAGAACTGCATAATCATTTCAGGAGAAGGAAAAGGACCAAATGAATGTGTGCATGGGTATAAATTAAATGTAGTGATTTTAATTTTCTTAGCAACTCATGTATCATATGGTGCTTTTGTGTCATTTTTCTGCCTATTTAAAATTAGCATTTATTATATATAGGCCATTTCAGAAAGATTTACATGATTTAATCATGTTCTTTTCTGAATAATTATTTAAAGTCATGTGCAGGATCATTGTTTCCACTATACAATTTTATTTTTGTCTATTTAAACATGCGTGGTGGGTTCCAGGGCATCATCAGCATACTTATTTCTGCTGAACAGATTTTACGTGTGGATTTTAAAGTCCTCATCTCCTAAAAGGGCAGGTAAGTGTTCTTATTACTTTTCTAAGTAGAGATAGGCTTAAAAAGTAAAGTCTTTATTGCTTCTTAAAAGGTGCAGTGCTCTGTGATAAATTCTCGTATTTTGACTGTTAATATGTTTGAATGAAAATTATTTATACATTTTGGTGAGGTTGAATGGTTTTCATTTGATTGCTGCCTCTGTAAATGAAAGCAGAGTAGCAAGAAATTTACATGTCATGCTGTGATGTATATCCAGATTATGAGATGATTGCTCAGTAGATGAACACCAAGTAAAATCATTTGCATCAAACTGTGACAACTGCAATTCCTGACAAGGCCTCTTAGTTTTGGGGGCTATTATCATTGTACAAGAATATAATCTATTGACAGCCTAGCTGTTTAATACATTAAAAGGCAGACAGTGGAAGAAATCTTAACAGTTTTCATTCACCGCTGCACAAGGGTGCAGATCAAAAGTGAATTATATTTAACAATATGCATGTATGGTGATAAGATGCATGACATTCATCAACCTGTTTAGTCATGGTTAAGCTGAGATGGGAAAGATCCAATATTACTGCCATATGTGGTCTGAAATAGAGACGTGAGACTGAAAATTATATTATTGCCCAGTAGAAGTGAACAAACAGGAGGAGACAGTCTTCCTTAATCTTTCTTCGTTTTCTCTCCCAAACTTTCCCTCACCAAAGAGAGAAAAATCTGCCTTTATTTTGAACAAGCAAAAGTTCCATCCCTGATGGAAAGAAACAAGAAAAACCCTATATTTTAAATTATTAGACAGATATAGGAGGAACAACAATTGAAGTTTACTTGTCTTGAACTTTCTTTTGGCTGTCCTAGACATTAATTGGTTTAATTTTTTTTAAAATGGGTATCCTTCTAAAGCACACAGAAAAAGTAAGATAAAAGAGGTGGCTGATGTTTATACTTTCTCTCTGAAGAACAACTCTGAATCCTGCTTCCATGGACTGAATATCTCCACCCTGCTCTTAAGCAGAACAGGAGCTGTTATGAAGGTCTGTATGAGGACATTGAAACTGTTTTGCTGAATTTGCTCACAGGCCTACAGTATTCTGAGTTTGCAAGGCTTGTTAAATGCACTCTTGTATTTTTCTGGATTAGTGCTAAAATGCTATCCTTAATAACTTTGGTAATGAGAATGTGTACTCTTAAAAAGAAACTCAAATTATCTCTCTTGTTTTGCAAGTGGAATGGAAGAAGAAGAAAATCTTCAGGGTTTATGCAATGAGTTAAATTCCATGGACTTTTCCCTTAAATATACACATTTTTTTTACTCCTTCCCTTTTTTCTTCCTGGCAAAACACCTGGCTTCTCCTTCAAGAAGTAAATTGGTTACCTTTGTTCTTATGAATAGAATATTCATGGGAACACCATCAGGTTATACTGGTAGTTCTCATTTAGCCACCCCAATTGGGACTCGCAGCTTGGTTGTTAAACAGAAGGGTCATCAAATGAAACACTTAACTTTTAATATCTTTCGTTTAACCTTCTTAATTCTGTTTTTGACTTCGATCGCAAAGTTACTTTTTCATCATCATTGTAACTGAGCAGTCGCTAAATGAGACCGTTTCTAAATGAGGATTACCTGTAAGGGTAACAAAACAGGTTTGTTTTAAAAAATTGAGTTAAAAAAATTCAAATGAGCCTTCCTCATACATAATTGTCAGATGTAAATGCCTTATTCTATAATGTGTAAATAGTATATGAATGGGATATCAGGGGTTAACTTATCCTTCTATTCTTAATGTATTCATATTTCACCACTCCCTCATATAGCTCCACCCACTGTATATATAAGGAGCCACCTTCACCCTTTTCCTGGCTTCTATCTGTGAATATTCAGTGAATATAGAATGCCTATTGTAAATAAAAGGAAGTATATTTAAACCTTTAACTCTTACTATTATTATTGAGTCTGATCCTAAAAATATTGCAACAATAATATTACTAGTCTGAAAATACCAAGGAATTTTCTATTTTTCTGCAGGAAACATTTTTATCATGGCCCATTCAAAAACCCACCAAAGATGAACTAACTATTTCAACCGAACATTAGATCTGTTACAATTGAGTTTAGTGAAAGCTTCCACACTCAGAAAATCACCTTTTTCCAGGAAAACAAGAACAACTATGATAATCTAAAACACCTCCCAAGAGGTGTGATCCATGAGCACACATGGGAAGGCATGGGAAAACAAATAAACAAAAATATTGGAGATAAGCAAAAATGAAATGAAGCTTGCTGGAAAAACGCATGACAAGTTGGCAGGTCTCTTGAATTGTTGCACTATTGCTACAATATGTTGTTAGAGGTTCCATGAATACTTTTTTCTCTGTTAGTTGCTATTGAAATTATTCCAAGCATTTTCATTAATCTGGGTAGGTTTTTGCTTCCGAATCTGGCAACGTATTCAGGTGATTAATGCTTTTAATTTTAGGAGCCATGGTTGCACAGTGGTTTGAATGCAGTATTGTAGGCTAATTCTGCTGACTGCTAGCAGTTCGATTCTCACCGGCTCAAGGTTGACTCAGCCTTCCATCCTTCCAAGGTTGGTAAAATGAGGACCCAGATTGCTGGTGGCAATATCCTGACTCTGCAAACCACTTAGAGAGGGCTGTAAAGCACTATGAAGTGGTATATAAGTTTAAGTGCTATTGTTATTGTTTTAATACATTTTCTGAGCATATGTGAATGTACTACTGTAGGTAAGGCTAGTTTATAATATGTAAAGTTTGTAAAAAAAAAATCCTTTTACAGGCTGTCTATTTTATCTTTATGAGCCACAGTGGCGCAGTGGTTAGAGTGCAGTACTGCAGGCTATTTCTGCTGACTGCCGGCTGCCTGCAATTTGGCAATTCAAATCTCACCAGGCTCAAGGTTGACTCATCCTTCCATCCTTCCGAGGTGGGTAAAATGAGGACCCAAATTGTTGGGGGCAATACACTGACTCTATAAACCGCTTAGAGAGGGCTGTAAAGCACTGTAAAGTGGTATATAAGTCTAAGTGCTATTGATATCTTAATACATGAAAACATTTGCTTGGAGAAAAGGAAGTGGGAAAGAATAGGCAAGAAGATTAAAAAGGAGATAGGTTGTTTTCCTTTCTCATTGTCGGCGTTTGATGGCTGATTTAAGGTAGGGCTCACCATCATGGGCAGGGATAGGGGAGAAAAACCCTTTCTTCTCTCCCAAAAATTCAGCTCTATGTGAGATTGTTCAAAGGTGAGTTGTTATGTCTGGCCACAAAACTGAACCATAATTGTGATTTTTCTTTGTTTCACCCAATTACAGAAGTAAATAGAATCTGCAATCACAAATAGCTGCACTATTTGTAGGGACTGTACATGCTAAGCCCTGTCCTCAGGTATCCCACTTGTAAATTCTTACTTTCCACTACAATATTAAACCCTATATATAATAGGATTTAATGTTGCAATATTATAATGGGAAGAAGGAATAACCTTGAAAAACAACAGCAACTAAGACAATGGTCAAATAAAGGAAATCTGAGTCCAGGGTAGAAATGTAATTTGAGAAAGCATCTCAGTCATGACCCTCTCTAGTTCTTAAGAAGATAACAGGAAGGTTGGGGGAAGCTCATTCAGACTTGCATAGACTGTTCCTCTAACCTTATAATAAAAGTAATATTCGCATTTATAATTTTT